AAATACAAAATTAAGACTATATACAGAGATGATAACTAAATATTATTAGAGCACCTATTAATTTGTATTATGTGTCCATTAATTTTGTGTTTAGCCATAGATTGATATGCCTCTCTTGAGCATGCACTTAATGCCATAACATTTAGATCAAAAATAGATTTCCAATCAGCCGTGCTACCCCCTAAATTGCATATTGGTAGGACATTTAATTATAACAATAATTTAAATAGTAACATTAATTGAATTAAATAGTATTTACATGTAAAAAATCCTATAAGATAGGACGAGTCAGTCATTAACATTATAATGAGAAAAATCATAGAGATAAGCCGTGAATAAGCGATTCAATCTCACTAGACTTATTTCGATTAATAATAAACGCAATAATATTATGGTTATTATGAAATAGACTGTTTCAAAATGATGGATTATATATGTTTAATATGTGACGGTATGTGTCGCGTGTCAGCTCTTAGGTTATGATACTGGTATTATTTATCAGAAAATCATCGCCTGGTCTTTTTATCGCTATTTAATACTATAAAATAGCTTCGACAAACTGCGCCCGTACAGACAAAATAAAATACTTTCTTCTTTTGAAGTAGATAGAGAAATATTTTCTCTTGTGATTCGTATTCTGGATAAAAACATGTCCCTAATTTGATTGATTATTATTTTGTTATCAACATGTTAAATAAAATAAAGAATATTTTTGCATTTAAAGGTAAAAAATATATATTAACTAAAAATTGTGATTAATTTACGACAAACTATTCATATAGCTATAAAAAATAATGTCTAAATTTATTTAGTAATTTCAACTTGGTATTGTATTTGGGTCGATTATAGACATGGATCTTTTTACTATATAAATTTTTTGTTGTTATGTTAAGCTTAAAATTAAACATTTTTTCTGTATAAATTATGTATTTTTACATTCTTACCCAATAATGTAGAACGCCTTAACATGCCTGCATTATTAATCATTATACTTATTCCGCCTATGTTTGTTTCAATCCAGTTAAATACATCTTTCAAAGATACTTCATCAGTTATATCACATGGTTTCAAGTAAATCTTTCCACGCCATTCTTTTTCCTTTACTAAATTACTCAATTCCTATTAACAAAAAAAAAAAAATGAACCTAATTTATATAATAAATTTTACGTCTTTAAAGCATTGTTGGATTTGGATAGGGGATTATTATTATCCTTTAATTTTTTTTTTTTAAACTGTGCTTTCATTTTTTAGATTGTTAAGTTTTGATAAGTCCTTACAATAAGAAGGTGCTCTCTCCTTGCAATAGCTACTACATTTACTCCGTGTTTTAACAGTTCAATAGTTATTGCAGAACCAATGCCTGCACTTGCTCCAGTAACGACAGCTAAATGTCCACGCCACTGTTCCATAATTGATAGAGTTTGAAACAAGTTATTTTTTATTTGACTTATATTTTTCTATGAACAAGTGTGATGAACACTTCTGAAAATGTTGGCACAACTTTTAGGAACATAAAATGTAATCATACTTCACAAAATATAAATTTCATAAATATAAAAATGAAACTTCATTAAAAATTTGTTCAATGTAATGTTTTTTCGAAAAAAAAATGATATACACTGTTTAAATTAGGTAATTTAAAAATATGTTTAGTTAATGTAAAAATTCTAATTATCCACTTGTAATTTGACAGTTGTTATTGAATTATAGTTAAAACAATAAACGTTTAAGTAAATTTGTATGTTTTGAAAGTTCTATAAAATTTTAAAATGTTTTTTCTTTTCTTGATGCATGGAGAGTTACACACTAATATTACTAATGCTATATTAACGGAAATTAAAAGTCATAATTTTAAATTAAATAATTAAGGCAATTTTCACTATCTACAAATTTTATTGCTTTTATTATATTTTTCTAAATGATAAAATTTAAACAATTTATGTTAAAAATTATACATGTATATAAATGTATAATATTCAATTTGAGACAAAATTTCGTTATAATTTACTTCTATAAACTCAAAACTTACTTAGAATAAGATCGATAAAAATAGTAATGAGTTCTTTTGCGATTATTTCATTTTTCATTTAAAATTATAAATGTCAATTATTTAATTGAAATTAGATTCATAAATATGTAAGTATAACGCTTATACTATATGAATCTTTTATCTAAACTGGATTAATATATGAAAAAGCTATACAGGGTGTAAATCTTTCGAACCATAGTAATATATAGGCGAGTATCCTTGGAGTGTGTAAACAATGACCTCGTTTTTTTTTTTTTTTTTTTCCCAAAATTGGGGAAGTTTTGGAATAACCCCCCGGGATTTCCCCAAAAATAAAAATAAATCATACCACGATATTTCCCGCAAAATTCTCGTACAAATTGAGGGGTCACTCGATTTTGTCCAAAAAATTGGCCATTTCCCCTCATTTCCGCCCCTAAAATTGGATGAATCGAAATTTTAGTGTTACATATCAATTTGTACTAGAATTTTGCAAGAAATATCATAGTATTATTTATTTTTAATTTTTATGGTTTTTTCATGCTGAAAATTCGGGAAATCCACAAATTAATAGGTTTTATTGTTTTTTTTTTAATTATTACTTGTACTTTCAGTGATAATAATGGTAAGATATCAAATCAAAATAATTTTAATTATTTTAAACATTTTTTCTTTATTTTTTGTAATTACTTACAATTAACTTTCCGACCTTAAGTCATAATTAAAATTTTTGGAAATAATTCAAAAGTAAACTTAATTGATCGAACCATAATTGCCTATTTAATACGAAAAATTAACTCTAAAAATAGACTTTTACCAATATTCCATGATGTACCAAATAAGACTGTAAGTTACATAACAATGATATTTGTATTACACTATCTAAATTAACATTTGTTATCTTTGTCATTAGGACATACCTTGCCTTTAAGCAAGACAACTTTTTTTTACAAGTTGCGTGCGTTTTGTTTTATTTTAAAAAGTTTTTTATTTAATTAAGGTATTTAATTTTAAATAAAATAATGTTTACCAATTCAGAATACACCGATATGATTTTACTTGTAGGTAAGTAATTTTTGAATGAACTATTTTTTCAAGATCATTTATTATTTAAAATGACTATTAGGAGAAACAGGCAACGGATACCGTGCAAGTATTAGATGGGCAGAGCTGTATCCCAACCGTCGGCAACCACATTATCAAACTTTCGATGATGTTGTTCGTCGATCTCGAGAAACAGGTCTTACTATCATTATTTTATTAATTTTAGCAGATCAATTAAAATTTAGTTCGATTTAAAAATTTAATTCTTAAATTAATTAAATTTGCTATCAAACACTAAAGGCGTTGTGTGGCAGCGTTCCAAATTGTAGGATACAAAGCATGAAGATCTGGGTTCGAATCCCACAAATTTTTTTCATAATTTTTTTTCGATAAACCTTAAGTAATTAGATTAGAGTAACTAGAATCAATTTTTAATTAAATAAAAGTAGTAAAAAAGTTCAAAAAATGTACGTTTTTTTATTCTGAAGGTATTTTACAACCATTTGGTCATCGATCGGGAGGTAATCGGTCAACTTTAGATGTTCGCACAGAAGAAACTATTTTAGAACAAGTTCAAAATGATCCAGAAACAAGTACGCGAAAAATTGGTGCGGAGATTAATATCAATCACATGAGTGTCTGGAAAGTCTTAAATAGTAATAAATTGTATCCATTTCATCGGCAAAAAGTACAGGAGTTGTTACCTAGGGATTTTCCATTAAGGTTAAAAAATAACTTTTCTGTTCAGGCAATAAATTTTAATTAATATTTTTTATCATTAGATTGAATTTTTCACGTGAAATGTTAAGCCGTATGACAGTTGATACAAGTTTTTTAAACAAAATTTTATTCACGGATGAAGCTTCTTTTACCAAAGATGGCACTATAAATTTGCATAACTTGCACCACTGGTCTGAAGCAAATCCACACGTTACACGAATTACAGGATCACAATACAAATTTTCGGTTAATATTTGGTGTGGTATTGTTGATAATTATTTGGTTGGACCTTTTGTTTTACCCGATAGGTTAAATGGCCAAGCTTACCTGAACTTTTTAAGGAATAATTTGCCAAATTTATTGGAAGATGTGCCTAATGAAATCCAAGAGACAATGTGGTTTATGATGGATGGTGCCCCCCCTCATCATACTAATGCTGTTAGAGAACAATTATTTTTTATGTTTCCTGAGGGTATCATAGGCAGGCAAGCAGGTAATCGAGCCCATTACAGACCCAATATCGTATGGCCACCACGAAGCCCTGATTTAACACCTTGCGATTTTTTTTTATGGGGTTATTTGAAAGAAAAAGTTTATTGTAATGAGGTTAGTTCAAAGGAAGAATTGATAGCCAGAATTTTTGAAGCTTGTAGGAGTATCAATGGAATCTCAGACATTTATGAAAAAATAAGATATTCAATGAAAAAACGGCTCCAATTATGTGTCCAAAAACAAGGAGGGCACATTGAACAATATTTAAAAACCTCAAATAGCGAATTATTATTGTAAATAGTTAAAAGAAATAAAGAAAAAATGTTTAAAATAATTAAAATTATTTTGATTTGATATCTTACCATTATTATCACTGAAAGTACAAGTAATAATTAAAAAAAAAACAATAAAACCTATTAATTTGTGGATTTCCCGAATTTTCAGCATGAAAAAACCATAAAAATTAAAAATAAATAATACTATGATATTTCTTGCAAAATTCTAGTACAAATTGATATGTAACACTAAAATTTCGATTCATCCAATTTTAGGGGCGGAAATGAGGGGAAATGGCCAATTTTTTGGACAAAATCGAGTGACCCCTCAATTTGTACGAGAATTTTGCGGGAAATATCGTGGTATGATTTATTTTTATTTTTGGGGAAATCCCGGGGGGTTATTCCAAAACTTCCCCAATTTTGGGAAAAAAAAAAAAAAAAACGAGGTCATTGTTTACACACTCCAAGGATACTCGCCTATATATTACTATGGTTCGAAAGATTTACACCCTGTATATTTTTATTGTATTTATTATCGAAATTATTCAAACAATTGATAGTTATTTATCTTTAGTAATTATGTTTAATTACTTAGTTATTATGATAAAATGAATAGCAGGCTCGATATAGATAAAAATGATAACATATTTAAACCACTTATTATAAAAATTATCAGCTATATTATGTATTCAAATAAATAATAAATGTAACATTATAATTAGTGAATATAAAAATGTTTACAAGAATTATTAAGATACACGCAATAATTGTTCAAAAAAGTTAAGTAGTAAAATATGTAAAATGTTTAACTGAATCAAGTTGGCTTATTTGATGGTTCTAGTAATTCATAAGTGTGCCAATAAGTTTCCATCTTTTTCAAACCAAAATTATAAAAGAAAAATGTTGCGTTATTTGTTTATTATCTCAACGTTATTACAGTATTCTATTAATTAGAAATTTATACTATAGAATAATTATCCAAAAGTTTTCAGTAACCTGAAATTATTCAAAAAATATAACAATGAGAAAAATATGTGAAATTTAAAAATACAAAAAATAGTTTTCTTTTCATAGTTATTATTTTAAGAAAAATTGAGCGTATAATTTATCAGCAATTTTATTCATTATTTGTTATTAGAATATTTTGTATATCAATCAAATGTTTATGACATTATACACTTGACAAATTATTCTATTAAATAATCTTGCGTTTATACTGTAAATCTAGCTGTGTACAGTTTTTAATTTCAGATAAGATAATAGTTTACTGTTATACTATACAACTATATATCACAACATGGAAACTAAAAGGTTATCACATTTATACGTGATAACATTTTGGTTACCGAAAATATTTTTAAATTAACTTTTGGTATACAGAAATGTCTGTGACATTTCTGCATATTATTTTTAATATATAAATAGTTTATTGGAGACATCCAAAATTGTATTTCTCATAATATTATAAGTTGTAAATATTTCTCTCCAGAGATATATACGAAAAAATCTATACAGTTGAAACATCCATTTAAATACCCCATTTAAAAAAACATGATTAATTTGCGATAATAATATAATAATTATAGAGACGGAAGAACTCAACTAATATAGTCGAACCAACTATAAAAAGTAGTTAATATCCAAACATTTGTCATGATTTAACTGATAGGTCATTTTGTTGGACTGATATCATATTCAGTTTCTTTTAACAGACTTATTTAGTTAGCATTATCTATTATTAATAACATTTCTAAATGTAAATGTTAGCAGTCACTATTTAGATTATAATAAAATAACATGTCTCAATTAACATAGAACATATTTGATATTTTGTAAAATATATGCAAACATAATAATTTTTTGCATTTTATTTGGATAATAACGGCGAATAAAGCAAACTTATTTTAACAAAGAATAATTTACTGATATTTTTAATTTTGCCCATAATTATATGACGTAACTACTCAAACGACAATTCGCCGAATGAAGGTTTATGTTTTTGGTTCTTTGCAAAGTCAAAAAAAATTAAATCAATAAATCAAACCATTTTGTGGGCTGTATATCTCTTTTGTTTTATAACGCCAATATTTTCAATAAATAAGATTAACAAATGATAACTTAATCTCTAATGTTAATAAATGCTCAAATAATAACGGCTAGTTATATTGAACTATTAACTTAATAATACGATACACAAAATATACTGACCTTGCTCGTGACCGAGTGATGAACGACGTTGGTGACGATGTATTGTCCAATATTTATATAACAATCGTGTCCGACGCTCCGATTGCATCCGAAGTAAGCTATTAATTAGCTTCTGACAAAATGTTTAAGCGAAACATGAAAATGTAGACTCTCGTCCTACGTAATCTGCCTGTTATATAAGAGCGCTTAATAATTAAAGACTCCTCATAAAGACAAACAGTGTCCGTAATTCCACTGTAGTTACACACACGCGCACAGGGAGCACACGAGTATGGGAATGACGCCATTGGCGACCATCGCACATACTACCCCAAGTAAAACCAGTTGGGGCAGGTCGCGCTCATGGCGATGACAACCGAAACTCAACAACAACGCGGTCTTATTCCCCTTTGGATCGACCGAACAATAATATACACTTGACTATATGAGAGCAATTAAAATTAAAAATATATATAAAATATTTAACTTGTGTCAAGGGGAAGTTTAGGATAAGGGAGTCTGACCCCAAGTAGTTGGGATAAAGCGAGGAAAAATAAGAAGAATTAAAATATTTAACTTAAAAAGCCACAAAATGGACTAAAAAATAGTGTATATATTTTGGGAACAATGTTAGTATCATTAGCGTTAAACACATGATTATTATATATTCGGGCAACTACATTTCTTTAGTAATTTCAACTAGATTATTATAGTTGTGCAAACAACATTTCAGTTAGGCCATTCATAATTTATACAATTATTTATTATAACTCAATTTTTGCGATGTAAGTATTAATATGATAAACAAAGTTTGCAGGAGTAATAGCGTTATTCAAAATAAAATACACGTCATATAAAAGCTTAAAGTTCATTGTATGCGTATAACTGCCATGTCTATTCTGTATGACTATTTATATTTATAACTTTGTAATTGAGTTGAATAACTAAAAAAATATAAACCTATTTTTTGTATTTGTAATTTTAGACGGATTAAAAATTGTTTTCTTTATTTATATATAAGAGTTATGCTATTTTTATTACTTCTACCAGTTTCTACCATTTTTTTTTTTTGATCTTATAGTTGAGTTAGTTTTTTTTCTAAAAACTGAACTATGGAATATAATTTTTTTTTTAGTTTATTATAAAACTATGAAACTTAAACCAAGAAATAGATAATTTTATAAAGTTTTGAAAAATATCAACTACGTGCTTTTTTTTATTTTTTTTTTTCATTTATATAGTAAATAATGAATCATGATTTAAAATGGTTCATAAAGTTTAGTGATCACAAAGACTTTTGGGACGTAGCCATTTTTTTTTTAAATTTAATTTGTACTTAATATTTTTCAAATTAAATAGAACTTAAAATAAATTTAAAGTAAATTTTGTTTTAGTGAAACTTTTAAGTTTATTTGTCCTTTAAATAATATTTTTTATTTTCTTATTCCAGAATTAAATATTTCAATTAAATAATAATTAGCCAGTTAATATTTTTAACATTATGCTTTTTTTTTTTTTTTAATATATTTATAGGCTTTAAATTCTAGTTCTTTAGCCTTCTAATATTAAATTGTGTTAGGTTAATACAAAAAAAATATAACAAGGTTACAGTATTGAGTGATTTCATAGTTGATTTTATGTTGCATAGACTTAATTGTATCGTATGATTGGAGTAGTTAGTTTAATTTAAATAAATGACTCAAGTTCAGTGGTCTTGAGAAAATTAATGACTTGTGTTTCTCGTTTGAATGCTAGGACGCCTTCAATGAACTTGATATGATGTTTGAAGTATATCAGACATTTTAGTAAATAGTGCTATTGAGAAAGATATGGATAATAGAGAGTTTGCATTGACATGTATCACAAATAGTTTCGGATTCTTCAGACATATGATAAGAGTGTGTCAGTCTAGTGTGGCCGATACGTACTTTGGTTATTATAATCTCCTGGTGTCTACTTAGTATGGTTTGAAGTTCCAGCCATTTAGCTGTAGATGGTTTGACTTGGTTTAATTTGTTGCTTTAATTCACATTTTGTTTTGAGAGTGTGAGTTACATCTTTATTTGTTATGTGTTGGTATATTTCTCAGGGGACTCTGCTGCTGGTAATGCTAGTTAGCAAACCTGTTTTTTATTTTTAATTTATCTTATTATATATTTACTAGGCTTTACCTAGCTGAAGTTCCGCCCCAAACCCTGTTTACTGTAGGCGTCACTGCGAAGCCCTTTGGACTGTTCTTACCGATAGGAGTACCCGGCTAAAACAAACACGATATGTCTTGTACAAAAAAATATTACTCCAGAAGCAGTTAAACCAAAAGAATAGTTCCAATTTTAAATTAAATAATAATTTAAAAAAATAATAATATGACTACAAAATACTTAACAATTATAATTCATAACAATCTACTAATTATTATTTAGCACAACAGATAGGCAAAAGAAAACTTAATAATTTTTAATGTTCTGAGTGAAAACTACATAAATTGTTATAAAATTTAAACAAAATTTTATGCGCAAACCATAACCATATCTCACTAAAAATATGAACTTAGACTTAAATAAAAAAAAAATAACTTATAACTCAAAAACAGAATTCAACGAATTTTTAAGGGTATCTTTGGAATTTTTTTTAAGTAAGTTTGATAATAATTACAGTTTTTAAATAAAAAAACGATGGCGGCAATGAGCGTTTTTGATAAAGATCTATGACGAGGTGCTAAAAAAATTTTCTCATCTTCGTAAATAATTTTCTCTGAATAACTTCGGCGATCTCATGTTTTATGAAAAAAAAATTTGAAAATCTGTCATCGATAAGTCATTTTTTCAGTATTAGGTAATTTTACAATAAATATGACCATTCAATGCAATTAAAAGTTATGGTTTATTGGGAGCTCATTCTTGAAAATCGTATGAAGCTATTGAAAGATAAATAAATGTTTTATATCTAATAAATATTTCAAATCTAAAATTAAATAAAAAGTTGTTAATAATACATATTATGTTAAAATTAATTTTTAGATTACTATACTTAATTTGTTTCAAATTCACATATTAAATATAATCAAAATTAAAAAATATATATTCTTTCTATAAAAATAAACGTGAAAGTTATAAAAAAACTGGATTAACCAAAAAAAAAACAAATTTTTGAATTTCAAAACCTATATAAAATAAGAAATTAATTTAATGACTCTACTTACATTTTTTTAAATATTGTATAGCAAAGTATTATTATTAAAATTAAAGACTATTTCTCTAAAAATGTAAGTAATGTTTTTGCATTTTTTAATTAATCCTATTTTAACATTTTAAATTTCACGGCAATATTATTTTCTATAACAGAATACTTAAGAATTTTAATGTAATTTTAATTACTATTGAATTTAAACGAAATTTACAATTTTTCACTTGAGAAAATTGGTTTTTTTGTTTTAAGTAAAAAAATATAAATTATTACAAAAAATTAAATTTTTTTTCAACAACTTTGTATTTAATAGCTTTTTTTCCCCATATAATAACTTCGTTTACTTGATTTTCTTTTTAAAATATTTTGTGTCAGATTACGTCTTGGTGAATTCGATCGCCTTGTTCTTTACTTAAGTCTTCTATGTCGTATGGAATTTGTTTAAATGAGAATAAAGAAAATTAATCTTTATACTCTTTTTACACCCTAAAACTTGATCATATTTTAGCATATCATTTACTTTTTAGTTTAACACTAAAAATCTTTCGGTAAAGGTATTATTATGGATTTGTCATATAAATAAATGTTCCCATTCACTTATAATTATCCTAAGAAGACAAATATTCATTTTTGGTAAATCATGCAGTCACTATTAGTGATGTGTCTGCATACACGTCCGTGTACGCACTTAAAACTACGCGACTTTAATTACTATATTAATTCGCGTATAGGTATTTCTTCAGTGCAATTATATATTAAATCTACATTAGGTTAAAATGGAATTTAATATTCTTTTGGTATTTTATGTACAATTTTTTTGTATGTTTATGTGATATGCTCTTTGACTTTGTGTGTAGTATATTATACTTACAAATTTTTGTAAAACCAATAATGAGATTTTGAATAGCATAACTGTGCAATAAACGATTTCTAAGTGGCCTACATCTTTTCACTCATCCATAGAGTGTTCCAAGATAAATGCGAGCTCAATATCAGTTCTTTACACAATAGATTATACTAGTGTCCTACACTGATGGCCACACTGTGACAGAGACTGGATAATCGACAAGTGGAGAGACATTTTGAAAATCGCTTATGATTAATTAATACCTTGATTATGATGTTATTATGCTAGTACTCTGTCCAGCCAGGTTGTAGATATAACCTGGTATAATTTCAATAAGAAATAGACATAATGCAATCTAATCATGTATTTTTTTTAATTGTGTTAAGTTGTGTAATAAAAATAAATAACTCATGTACCAATATGTTTTATGTGTTGAAATGTTTGTATCACCAAAAGTTTTCGGCAGAAAAAGGTTGTATAAAAACTCTTCTAAGTCAAAGCGACTAAAAATTGAATGAATCACGGCGTAGATTTGATAGAGAATTGTAAATATGAGCAAACTCGTTGTCTTTGGAAAAATGACCTTTTAATATTCCGTAAATGTAGTTTAGCAATACCTGATGAGATTCTTAAAGTATGTTTTGTTGAATTTGATTGGTCAATGCGATAGAATATTTATAGTCTATAAATATTCTATCGTAAATTGCATTTGCGATACAATAATTCGATAAAAAAATAATTAAACAAAATTGTTAATTAACAATTAAATTTGGTTAGTCTATTTTTTATTTATATATATGACAATGGAAATTTAAAAATAAAATCTACATTGAATTAAATAACTCAAACATTGTTATTTAGCTGTAAACATTCAATAATGCTTAAAATATACTTTTCCTTGTACAAGTTAATACTAAAAAAATATTTTTACAATATTTAATAATATGTATAATAATTTTAAATGGAAAATCAATTTTAGTTAATTAATATTGATGATGGAATTACAATGATTTTAATTTGATTTTTATTAAGACAATGATTATAATAATATAAAAATATAATAATTTTAGTGCTTTACAAAGAGGTTCATACTTTTTCCTGTACTTAGTTATATTTTTGATAATCTAACAAATCGTTAGCTGAGTAATTACTGTCCATTCTTGAGTCAGTATACTGATTTGCTCCCCCTGGAAATTCTCCGAATAACCACTGGTAGTATTCCTGGGCATTTCCTAATAAACCACTGTTTTCAGATTGTGAATTATACTCTGGCACATTAGATCTGCATGCTTCTGTCTCGGTACATTGATTGTTTATTTGTCCAAATAAGTTTTTTATTGTATCAGGTATTTTGAAATTATTGTCGCTACTGGCTTGAAGTGTGTAGTAAGCAGCTGCTGCTAATAAAATAGTTTTTACTTTGAAAAAACTTAAAAAGTTACATTGTCTTAGTGTGAGTATAGTTCCGATCACTTTACACAGTGCATAATTATTTGCTGAGAGTAATGATATTATTTTATTAAATACGTTTGGATTTTTTAAATTATTCAAATCAAAACTATTGAAAACTTCCATTTCTTCCTCAAATCTTTGATTGCAGCTTCCATCATTACACTGTCCGCTATTTCCACCCATGTTATTTTGTGAATTATTTATTGACGGTTTCGACATTACAACTGAAACGTTTGTTACATAGATTAATACTACGAAGAAATTTAAAATAAAAATGCTTCGATATCTTGAATACATTTTAAATATTTATGATTATTAAAATATTTAAAATTTATATAAACTTATCAAAATCTCAAAAGCTTTTAAAAAATTGTCGAAAACTATCCTCATTTATACTAAAAATTTTTTAAACAAATATTTTGGTTGTACTAAAAAAAATTCAAGATAAACACATTTAAATATCTTGTTATAGAAAAAATAGTCTTTTTAACATCTTGTTGTTCTCAGAAGTTTTATTGATTTATTATGAAGTATTAAAAGTATCTATTTATAAATCCTATAATGATTAATCAATTCCTTGATTTTTAAAGTATCATACTTAAATAGTCTGGAAAAAGTATGCCACATATTTGTACAATTCTTTTTTTATTTAAAAAGTAACTTTTAAATGATTCTGATTAAAAACGTAACATTTATGAAAATAAGACATAAAACATTTGGTTATAAATTAATAAAGTTTGGATACTACTCACGTTTATAATTTATCTAGAACCCCACAATTCATACTACCACTCATTGTTTTAAAATTTAAATTGTGCAGTAAAAAATATTATTACATAAAATATAGGTTGCTAAATACAAATTGATGTTAGATAATACATTTAAATTGTTTTGTGGACTGTAAGGGGGTATTTATCATTATTTTATTTTATTAATTTGAGTCTTAGAGGATGCTAAATTCAAATTTAATGCCAGTATTTTTGTTTTAATTTTATTTAGTTGAGTAAAAAGAAATTATTTCTTTAATTTAAGAGCCAGTCACTTTCCAAATTGAGCTATTCAATAATTTATTTTAGCTTTGATGCGAAGCTGAAAAGATATTAATTTTACCTTGATATGTTTATTTTTTTTGTGTTTGTCACTACTTTTTCTCAGCTCTCACTGGACCGATTTTTCTAAACAATACGTTAAAAGATCACAAATTGTATCTACTTGAAGTTATAACTCTCAAAAATTAAACATTTTGCCCTTGTTCCTCATAAATAGTGAAAATCCTCAAAAAAATTATGATTTTTAAAATCGGTAAATTTTTTTTCATTTAATTTCTAAAAATCTGTAGACAGTGTTTAATTTTATGAAGTTGGTGGATTATTGAAAAGCAGAATTCTAACTAAAAAAAAAAATTACGGATAATTTGCAAAAAAATCATTGCTATGGGTAANAAGCAGAATTCTAACTCAAAAAAAAATTACGGAAAAATTGCAAAAAAATCATTGCCATGGGTAATGATTTTTACTAAATCAGCAAACGAGGACAAAATTTTCAATTTTAGAGATAAATGTTTTCAACTAGATACAAATTGTGATCTTTTAACGTATTGTTGAGAAAAATTGGTCCAATGAGAACTGACAAACAAAGACAAAAAAACAAAAAAAAAATAAACACATAATGGAAAAATTAATATCTTTTCAGCTTCGCATCGAAGCTAAAATTAATTATTGAATAGCTCAATTTGGAAAGTGACTGGCTCAATTAGCTACTAATACAATAATCTGCGAATAATATTTCTTATTGTTTAACATTATGGTAAAAAAATATAATAATTTTAAAACTTTAGTGTTACTAATGATTTTTCTTTTTGATCGCATATTTTTTTTTTTGAAACACTGTGTCTCTGTCATTGATTATAACAAGTAATCAATAAATGCCGCAATTTTTTAATAATTTTATTAAAGTTAAAAAAAATAATAATTTGTATATATATTTTGTGTGATTTAACTGTGTAGTTATTGCTTAGGTACTAATGAGTAATTATCACAAAAACTAAAAGCGATAAAATAAATGTTCTAACTAATAAAATAACTGGTCTGTAACAACTTGTAATTAGTATTTTGGAAATTATAATCACTTTAATAATATCAAGAGATGAAGCACGGATCTATTTATTTTTATCTTAAGGCCTTTATGGACAGCACTACTCCATCTATTATAATATAAAATTTCTAATATCATTTAAAATACCTATTCAAAAATTGTTATAGACCTATAATTTTCTTAATTAAATCAATTTATTATCTCTAATCTTGTTAAGCATATATGTTTCCATTTTAAAAAATTTATACGATTACTAATTTAAAGGGGAAAGAAGGGATGGGACCAATTTTTGTTTTAAATCATAAAACGTAGTATCCTATTAACTTCTAAAAAGAAAAAATTATAATTTGCTTCATTTTTTTAGAGATATTGTGTGAGGTATAGTTAATTAGGCGTTATTTGCTATACAATATGTTATAAATTCACTTAATTACGAGTATAAATATAAAGATTATTAAAAAAAATTATTTGAATTTACCTAATGATAGGATAATTTAAAATTACTCTATTACAAGACCATTCTTAAGGAAAAATTAAAGCCTCGACCTCGCGCTTGTGAAAATAATGACGTTAATCTTATTACAATGATTTTTGCTTAATGACTCATATATATTAAAGACGATCTTGTCCTACCAATAGTAAAAACTAAATACTCATTGTTTTATTTTCAAATATTAATAAACAAACAATAAAAACTTTTCAAATCATAATTATTGTTGTGATATGATTATTTTTCAGAAATGTAGTAAAATAAAATGGGTCTAAATATTAGGCAATGTAAATTTATGTTACATCCATTAAAAGTAAATTCATGTTTTTAACAGATTTTTACTAATGGTAAATATTACAGAATTAAATAGCAAAAAATGTGTCATGAACAAAAACAATTTTGTTATTTATTTTTTTATGTATTCATTGTAAAATATAATGTATTTTTATTTTCATGTTTTATAACATTACAAAAAAACAAAATATATAGGTGAAATTTAATGCTAATTATTAGGGCCAGGAGTTTTATAAACTTTTTAATTTTGTTTGAGCCACTTTGAAGGGTCCCCAAGTTTGTGGAACATTGTCATAAGATTGTATAAAATCATTGAAATATTTTTCGTTTTAGGAATATCTCAGAAAAAGATTTCCCTAATTACTCCAAAAACTATAACCTTGGTAACAACGCGTAACTACAATTACAAGTCAATTGATAAAAATTTGTACTGGATCATCGTATGTTCACAATAACTTGACAAAATGTATAAATTCTTATAATTCCGGACCTTATTGTTTGTAGTCACTACTATAAAAAAGCTTTAACGAGTGGGTATATAAAGAAAATTCAACTTCTTTGATTTTCCTTTAATGCGCACAATTTTAGGAGAAATTGAAATGATTAATTGTTATAAGATATAGATGAAACCCATTAAGTGTAACTTATTTATTTATAGGAAGGTTTTTCAAAATTTCAATAGAAACGGTTGTTAATTTTGACACCAAATAAAAATAACTTAAAGAAATTATGTCTATATGAGAAACATTAATTTGCAAAATATAAAAATTGAGATGTGTATTTATTTATCAATTGACACTTAAAGATTTTTGTTTTATTCATACATATAATTTAAAATATAAATAGTATTTTAAGAAACTGTTGGATAAATATTGTTTTCAATATTTAATTTTGACATTTCAGTCCTTAAATTAATAGTCTACTTTAAATTTTTACTGCGCTACATGACTAATGTCATTAAATACCCGACAGTTTTTATTTTATTAAATGTATTATATTTTTATTATTTGAAAAAAAAATTGTTTGCTTGATAAACAGTTAAATTTATTATCCTATTTATTTATTTAATTAATATAAGAGCTGTATATGAACAATACACTTTTTGATTCAGTCAAAATATTTTTCAATATGATTTAATTGAATTTATTACTTATAATCCTTACATTTACTTACATTATTTTTAATTATGATTTTCATTTAATTAATGAATCATGTACAAAAATTCCTAAATCAAAAAAAGTTGAATTGAAAAGTCCAGTATAACGTTTATATCAGAGTTTCGCTTGATTTTAGTTAGGAAATATAATTTTTACTAGTGCAAAAAAATATCATTGTTATTTATTAATAAAATTCTAAATTTTATTTTTGGAAAAAATAGAGAAAATTGTTCGAACCAAAGAAAGTATTAATACTTTAATAATAGAGCTTAGTTGTTTATTGTCGTTGTAACAATAAAAAAAGCCATTGGTTCGAATCTCTGATTATAAAATAATTATTCACTTCTGTAACATGTTTAAGAATTTATTTATTTCTCATTAGCATTAATTATTCTTGAAATTCTTGAAATCGTTTATNATATAATTTGTACTAGTGCAGAAAAATATCATTGTTATTTATTAATAAAATTCTAAATTTTATTTTTGGACAAAATAGAGAAAATTGTTCGAACCAAAGAAAGTATTAAATTAAGAATAGAGCTTAGTTGTTTATTGTCGTTGTAACAATAAAAAAAGCCATTGGTTCGAATCTCTGATCAAAAAGTAATTATTCACTTCTGTAACAAGTTTAAGAATTTATTTATTTCTCATTAGCATTGATTATTCTTGAAATTTTTGAAATCGTTTATATTTTACACAAACGACAGCTCGTAATTAGTATATAAGAAAAATTTATTCATAGGTAAAAAAAAGTTTTCCATGATAAAATTTAACTTTAAAAATAATAAATTCATGTAGGTTTTAGTCATATCAATTAATCTGAACAGTATAATTTTTATGAAAAAATTGGAATTATTAAACATTATTTAACAACATTTTTGCTAAAACATTGATTGCAATTTATAACAGATCTTATAAAATTTTAATTGATACTTATTATTTAAATAAATAAAAACAATTATTCTAATAAATTATTTTACTATTCTTTTAAAATGTATGTAATATAAAATGTGTTAATTTATTTGAATTTTTATTAATGATTAATTTTACTGAAGTGCCAGTAGAAGTATGGAAAATATTAGTCGGTGTTAGTATAAGGTAGTTGAAGAAAAATACTTTAAATACTTTTATATAAAATCTTATTAGAAGGGAAAATTCCAAATGAATAGAGGAATAGTATTTTGGTGCCGATATTTAAAGATAAAGGTGACATACAGGAGTGTGGAAATTATAGAGGCTTAAAGCTTATGAGTCATAGTATTTAAATTTGGGAAAAGGTAATAGATAAGAGAATATGAAATGAGACATCAGTATCTAAAAACCAGTTTGGATTTATGCTTGGTAAGTCAACAATGGAGCTAATATTTTGTGTGGAGCAACAAATAGAAAAGTTTAGGGAAAAGAACAAAAAGCTGTGTATGGTATTTATAGATTTGGAGAAAGCATATGATTGAGTACCGAGAAAGGTTTTAAAGGGGACATTAATGAGAAAAGGGGTCCCGAAAAGGCATATTAATATAATAGAAGATATGTATGATGACACTTGTACCAGGGTAAAAAGCGTAGGAGAAGTAACAGAAGGTTTTCGGGTAAGAGTAGGAGTACACCAAGGTTCTGCTTTAATCCCTTACTTATATTGTGATGGATGAAATTACTAGAGAAATACAAGGAGTGATACTGAGGTGCATGTTGTTCTTTAACAATATAGTTTTAATAGGCGAAAATTAGGATGAAATTAATCAAAGACAAGAGGTGTAAAGATCAGCTCTTGAAGAAAAGGAATTAAGAAAAAGTAGTATATAGTATACTACTATATACTATCAGAGTATATAGAGTACTATTTGACTATGAAGATCACGAGGTAGGTGAAATGGGGAGTGACAGGATGGTTCAAACTAATGTTTAACACAAGATTACAAGTAATAATGAGCACAGAGTTGTTTATTATTTTAATGTAAACCAATTTTAAAACAAAATATGTTGCAAACAGTAAAAACAGATCCTACCCGCACATTAGAGAAAATAAATCCGGAAAAATTGATATTGGTATCCCTTATCGGTAAGTTTTGATAGGATCGTACTGTGTGTACTAGTCGGTATCAAGAAGAAGACTTAAACGTATATTTTAGTGGACTGACTAGAGAAGATTGTATAAGGAACGACCATATAAGAGGGAGTTAGGTGTAGCGTCAATCGTGGATAAGATGAGAGAAAATGAACTTAAATGATCATGTTATGAGGAGAGAGGAATCAGAAGCTGTAAGAAAAGCTATAGAAATAGATTTAGAAGAAAGAAGAGGTAGAGGAAGATCAAAAAAGAGATGGAGGGATGCTATATAAGGACAGCTGATGTGAGCATAGATGACGTGGAGATCGTGTCAAGTAGAAATTTAGGATAAGGGTGGCCGACCACAAGTAGTTGGGTTAAAGCGAGGACGAAGAAGAAGATTTATGATTAATTTTACTAAGAAAAGTTTAAATAATTAAAAATATTCAAAATTACCTTACTATAAGTATAAATATTCAATAAAATCTCTCTTAAATACAAAAATTGACTGAAATTATGTGTAAATAGTATTTTAATTATCCCAGAAAAGTTATTTTATACGATGTTTAATGTAACGTGAATGCTGATGTTGTAGACATGTTTATTTTAACTTTATGAAATTCGATAAGGGTCAAAAATGATGACGATTAGTTAATCATTGGTTTCTTATCAAAAAGTTTTTTTTTCTCCATATTTTGCATATTATAGGGATTTAAAAATATTTAGTCTCTTTTTTATTTTATATTATTTTTAGAAACAAAAACATATTTTCATTATTTTCTCACATTAAAATTTTTTTCTATAAAAAAACTTAAATTTATAATAGGGGAGAGCTAATGTTTTGTGCATTTTAATCTTTTTGGACTGACAAAATATAGTAATGACTGCAAACTAAGTATTGAAATATTAGTAAATATATTAACTAAACAATGACCAATTTTTCAAAGAATTTTAAACAAACACATACGTTTCTTTTAAACATCACTTGTATTGCAGTTGTTTTGCTAAAACGATATATTTTTGGTTTACCACGTATGGTTTTAACTTGAGCGTGAATAAATAAATAAAATTGTTTTTATTGTAATATCTAGAGAAAAACATTACATATAAAAAGTATTTAAAATTTTAGGTCTTATTAGAGAAGTATTAGTGGAGATTTTTAAATAAAAATGAAATGAAGATAGGTATTTTTTTCTTGTTATTTGTAAATTCAATTTCTATATATACATTAATTTGCTAATAATTAGTTAAACTTGCTCAAAATTACTTGGGGTGTCAGTCACCTTGTATGAGTGCCAATACAGATATTAAATTCTTGATTGGTGCTACTCGCGTCATTTATTTTATGTATTAACAGAAAGCTTATCTAATTGTTTATTAAATAAGCTAGTCAAATGTATGTTGTTATTTAAAAAAATTAAATTGACACCTGTATAAAGTACAAGAAATGAACATAAAAATACTTTATGGTTGTTAAATTAAAAAAACATTTCTATAACAAACCTTATTAAGTAATTTTAAACAATTATTCATATTATTTAAATATTTCAACGAAAATTTGTTAAATCGGTAAATTTTTATGACTCTGTATATAAAATAAATTACACACTTATAATTAGTTAAACTAGCTTAGTAACTAAATATATTATATAAAAAATAATTATCCAGGAGCACACCTTAGGGGATTATCAGGTTGATATCCTTTTATAAATATTTTTACACTCCAATCTTTTTTTTTAATTTTTAAAAAAAATTAAATATATATTCTAAATTTTTAACGGGGCAGAAGGTGGTTTTCTCTTAATTAGGGAAAAGATAAATACATATTATCAGTATACCTATATTAAGCTATGGTATGTCAACTTGCCTCATTAAAAAAAATCAAATTTGACAAGACAGTTTGCCTTGGTCAAGATTATTTTCTAAATATTTCTTAAAAAATTAATATTAATTAATTAGTTTTTTACCGATTGATCTAAATATATCATATATAATAAGTATTATTTCTACCAAATTTTTATGGTAATTACTTTCTTTGAGAAATTTTATTAAAGCTCAAGGGTAAACTTAAACCACCCTATTTCAATATTTTTTTTCAAAAAAATTTTAGCGTTGAAAAAGTTATTAATACTGTTCTATTATAACTTAATAGTAATAAAATATATGATATTAGTCAGTTTTATTCGTAGACTTTGAAAATAAATGTTTGTAATTTTTACGATTCCTTCAAGTTCTTGGGTATTCAAATATTTATATAGGATTCGACCAAATGAACTGAATAATGTGTCTAATAATGAATTGTACTAATGAACATACATTTATATAAATATTTTTATTAGTATTTAATGTAATGAACAATAAGCATAGTTTATGAATTATAGTATACACGTTTTCTTAAACAGATTAAAGAATCCACCAAGCATAAATACTTAAGCGTAAGTATAATAATAAGACAAAAACCCATTTCTTTCTTTATAAAATTTACAAAATTAGGATATGGGTTAGTATTAATAGTCAGGTAGATTTGACTTTAGGCTATAAAATAATAGAGTATGTTGCACAATGCTAGTAATTAAAGTATGTTAGTAATTAATTATTTAAAATTTAATTAGCTAGTCTCGATACCAACTCCTTTTTAATCTTTTACAAGGATTTCCGAGTTTTATGCACCGGAGACTTCTGATATGAGAGGATTCTTTTGTTGAAATAGTCGGGATTTGAACCATCTATAATGAAGTTTTAAAACTTCATTTTCAGTAGAAACATTAAGATGAGTGTTTATAGTGTGATCAGAAACATAAAAACGAGCTCTAGAAAGTAGTCATAGAATTTTAAACTAAAATATTTGGATTCTATAAATCCTAATAGGTTTCAGTAAAAGTTTATTGAGAAATACTTTATTATTTAGGTTTATATGTTTGAAAATTAATAGTAGTCAAAAGAGACGGAAACGATTGTTGAGTAAAAGCACTTTGTTAAAGATGTGGGAAGAACAGATAATTTTTCGGGTAATTAAAATGTTCAAATAGCGGATACATTTAGCAGTAGGAAGGTATTGGTTATTAAAAAAATGAGTTGGAAAAGTTCAATGTCGAAGAGTAAATTTTCAGTGACTAGATTTTAATATTAATGAATATGTTACGATAAAACTTATTCTTTTGACTTTTACATTTTATATGTAAGATATTTCAATTTTGTTTTAAAAACGCCAAAGCAGTGCAACAATTTTATGCATAAACAAATACAGTAGCTCGATTCGTATTACATGTGGTTATTTAACTTGAAAGGAGATTAACTATTTGGAAATTTCCTAGATTAAACCCTTATCCTAAACTTCTACTAGACACGATCTTCTGAATCATCTACACTCATATCAGCCGTCTTTATATCACATTTAATAACATTCCTCAACCTCTTTTTTTGATTGAATCTACACCTATACCTCCTCTTATATATTGGTTCCTTATCCTAACATCTCAAGTCACTCCACTCATTTTTCTAAGCATTCTCATCTTTGCTACATTCATTATTTGCTCTACTTTCTTGTCTACCGCCTAACATTGAATTATACATTACAGCTGGTCTCACTACAGTCTTTAGAACTTAAAATTTGAGACTAAAGAATTTGATTTCTTTTATCGCAAGTTTTTTTTAATGAATATTGACCTTAAAGCATTTCTAATATACATTTCAGAGAATATACTGTGCACATATTAATAGGTTTTTAAGGTATATTAGCATAATTTTTATAGGATTATAAAAACCTAAAAATCACCTCTTTAGTTATGGCGGTTTAGATAATAAGGTTTATAAAATACTTGTGAATAATTTAATGTGTTCAAAAAATCTTTTGTAACAAAAATGATCAAAGTTATATAGTTAAATATTGACTTTTTTTGTACATTTTGTAGCACTAAATTATATTACGCTGCTTTTAATCAAAACAAATTAAGAAATATATAAAATATTGAAACAGAAAGAAATAATTTAATTAAAAATTTAATTAAATAGTATAAATTAATTGAGACTAATTTATTATATTGATTTCCATTATTCTTAAATATAAGTAACAGCATAGTTTATTTGATTCATGAATAATTTTAATTGCTAGTAATACAGAAAGTTTATAAACTTAAAATATATTTATGATATAGGTCTAGTTATATATTTTAGCATGGGAATAATAGTGTTGAATGAAATACGATAGTAGTTAATCATAATCAAAGCATTAATGACAGTTGCTAAAGACATTATTCGTTAAGTTGCTATGACACTCATAAAAGAGAAGTGTTGTTGTTATGTACGTATTTTGCATAAACGAATGACGTAAAAAGTATTTTGATAAAAGATTAAAATAACATACATATTTATTCGTTTGGTGTATAAATGAAGTATAATACTATTTGATTAATATATAAGGTGCAATCATTTTATTCAATTTAAATGTTTTAGATTTATCAATAAATGTAATTGTATAATTTATTTTTCGAATATACAATTCAAATTCTACTAAATGATGAATTAGATATTTTCTAATTACATATTTAATAGAAACTTTCTATATTTATGATTCATTTTTTGGAGGTGGTAATAAGATAATAAATTTGAACTTATAATATTCGATATTATTAAATTTTTATTTTAATAAAATTTATTTTATTGATTCCAAATATTAATTTGTTTTTCTATATGACTCTGTGTATAATACATATTATTTGTTATATAAAAGATTTTCTTCTATCGAGGTATAATTTTGAAATTTTTCGTGACTTTAATAGGCTTCTAAATTACTTTTTTTTGCTTTGTGGAAATTATAGCCGAGAGTATAATTACATAATTATATTCTTTCTTAGATAATTTAGTTTATAAGAGTACAAAGATAAAGGGACAGAAAAAAATTATGTGATCTTATTTTTAATGTAATTTCAATGTTTTAATTTTATAAATGAGTAAAATACAACATATTTTGGAAGAATATTTAACATTGATTTAGTTAATGTATGACTCACAATATTTTTAAGAATTTAGTATATAAAATATATTTAATACATGTTAAATCGACCACAAAATTTTCTTAGAAAATTATTAAAAACCAGAAGAGGGAGTTTTTATACTGTTTTTAATGGATATGATATTTCAAATCTGTTACTTTTTTTTTTAATGTCTACTACTCCCACAAGAATTAAAAAAAATCGTCCTTTGGATATAAAACGTAATAACTCTATATTATAAACTTCTATTTATTTTTTGAGTTAGAAATACGTAATGATTGAATTTGATTAAGGCATCCATTTTTCAAAAAAACTATTACAGATCTTAAATTTTGTAAAGAGAAAAATTATTGGGCTTAAAAAACTTTATAAAAATTTTTTGCTAAACAATTTTTTTCATCCCTTTAGAGTTAAATGACCATAGTTTAAAATTTTTCAATTGGAAACTCTAATAATTAACTTGATAATGTTATATAAAAATGTTACCAAACAGTTTTGTTCTAATAATTCGTTTGTGATTTAAAATTGTTTCAAAATTCAGATTTAAAGCAAAAATTCATCATTATAATGATGAATTTTATAATTATAACAAAACTAAATTACAATTTGATTTTCTTATATACAAAAGAGCAATAATATGTTTCCATAAGCTAAATAATTTTTTATAATGATTATTAATATACATTCGTACATCGGTGAAATTTATGTTTTTTTTTATCTTGATAGATCCACTTATAATTAAATGGATAGAAACCATGCTTAAAGATCACTCCATCTTTGGACAACTCAATAAAACCAAGATATTCAGGAGTCTTAAACAAGGACGTCCACAAGGAAGGGTTTCTATACCCTGTTATGGTGTCTAGTATTGGACTCACTTATTAAAGAGTTAAACAAATTCTGTTATGTACAAGCCTATGCGGTTGACTTAGTTATAGTGGTGGGAAAATTCCTAGACAATTATAGATTTAATACAACAGAAACCAAACACTATACATATATGGTGAAGCTAGATGGTCTATCTATTAATCCAAATAAAGCAGAGGTAGTTATGTTCACTAGGAGGAAAACGGGACTAGACAGATTTATCACGCTTACTCTAAATGAAAAAAAAATTAGCTTTAAATCAGAACTAAAATACTTAGGTATAATCTTAGATAGTAAGCTAAAATGGAAATCATATGTTGAGTCAAGAGGCAATAAAGCAATGACCGAACTGTGGACTTGCAGCTGTACATTTCAGTAATTAAATGTATGATCTTGTGCGGTACTCTGGTTTGGTGAAGTCGTTACAGC